CGGTTGCCTCTAAGAGGAACTATCCTGCAGTTGCTGGAAGATATAACACAACACAAGGATAATAATCAGTTTTGCAGTCTGGACTATCAAAATGCCAAAAAACATATGTCATACAGATGATTATTCTCAAGCTATCATTATGTTTGATATGGAAGTGTAACTTTATGATTAATAGAACATCTAAAATCATCAAAGACTTGCTGCTCTTCAAGCACTGTAGATGTTCTCTTATATTGCTTAATTTCATCTGTTGAATGGCTCTGTGGTGTAGGTTTTATGATAAACTACATCTGATGAAATGACCATTCAATACTACAGAAATTATAAATAAAAATTTCAGATGGATCATAATCTAGTGATTTAAAGACGTAAAGTGGAGTGTGATATGAAACTATCAACAGAGGCAATTTTCATTTGTTTTTTCTCTTGGTATTTATGGATAGAAATGGGATTGCCTCAGTGCTGGGCATACAGACAAAAGAATAGAAATCAACGTTTCAAGGGATTGTGTGTGCTCAGCTGTTTGTTGCAGCACCGTTCACAGTGGTGGAGATGTGGAATTTACTAGGAGGGAAGCAGTGAATGCACAGATAAAGAGAACCTGGCACGTACAAAGAGTGAGATACTCTTCAGCCATAAAGATGAGTGCAGTTGTAGCATTTCCAGCCACACGGCTGTGATTGAAAGACACTGCTACATGAAATATGTCAGGCTCAGGAAGAAAAAAAATTTAAATTTTTTTTATTTTGTTAGCAACCTTCAAGCTAAGAAGGAGGGGTCCAGAGTGACCTGCAAGAGCTGTGGGGACTGGGGATGGCAGAGCTCACTTGAGCGTGATGCAGCAGTGGAAATGCAGCCTGCATGCATAGCTCGGACCCATGGAAGGCAGGAAACAGGCCGTGGTGTTTCCTCTGCATGGCCTGGGGTGGCAATTTTCTAATAACACGGTAACAGATTTCTCTGAGTGATTTTTCTGTGTGTAACATAAATATAAAGAACTAAATTCTATTGTGTTACTTTGAGACCTGTCAAAGTTCATTCAGAGAAAAATTATTACATTCTCTTTTTTAATGTTTGGATCTGAATCAGAGATATGTAAAATAATTTGTCCAAAGCCACATCATTAATATCAGAATGAAAATGCCTAACAAGTCATTGAGAAATATTAAAATTAGGGAAATATAAGATAATTCTAAATATCAAGCATCTTCATATCATCATCAAGCATCTATACAAAAAGTTTTCTTTAGGAAGGCAAATGGGAAACACTTTAGGCTCTGAGAGTACGTTATAACTGCTCAGCTATTTTCTGTAGTGCAAAAACAGCTGCAGGTAGAATGTAATTAACAGGTCACAACTGTTTCTAACAAACTTTATTTACAAAATAAACACTGCAGAGCATGCACACAGTTTGCTGGCCCTCTTTTGTGCAGTAGCCAGGGTAACCTTCAAAGTTAGTGTAGTTTACTTTTGGTTTCACTGTTACTAAAAGGTATGGAATATGTAGCAACGTGACTAGGTTAAACCATGAAAATATGTGACATCTTATACATACAATTATATTTTATACAAAAACCTTTTCATCTCTCTCTCTATATATATCACTGTAATGTTAAATTTACTATGCATACAAATATACAATACAGACTTCTTAATAAAATGCCTAAAATTTGCTAAAGTATAAAGAAGGCATTAAAACCACATGTCCCAAAAGGGACTTATATGAGTTTAAGTTTGGAGAATTCCTTCCCATCTGTTTTCGTCAGAATATGCATTTATATATCTGTGAGCTCACTGTAGAAACCAAGCTTGTGTCCACCTTCTTTTTGAAAATACGGAAAATATTTTGAATTTCACTCATAGTTCTTCAAAAAGAATTTTAATGGCTGCACAGTAGTTTGTATCTATAAAGCCACATACATAAAGTGTCCCTTTTCCTCCTGGCCCTCACTGGAGTGTGTCACCAAGTTCCTACTTGTGGGGTAGGCGGAGCAGGCAAGGTGTCTTCACCTACTGGGATGAGACCATCTGCACCCACTGCAACAGGGTCCTCCATCACCCTTTGGGATTAAAAGCAGTAATCTCCATGAGGGGATTAGCACACCTATGCTAAGATGCTCGAGTCTATCTTCTCATGCTTTCCTTTCAAAGTTTTTATGTCCTCAGTCTGGCTTTAACCTTCTCCATGTGTTCTTTCCTTTGCAGGTGTATAACATCTGGTGACAGGTGTTGAGACTAAGCCAGGCTCTCTGGTCATTTCTCCAATGGTCACCAGGAACAATTGTCACCAGGATCAAATGTCACATTGACAAGGTTTGGGACGTGAGGTCCTGTTCTACCTCTGCAAAGATGCCATGGAAACATTTAGTGCTACCTCACAGGGCTTTAATGGTATCTTTGCAACTCATAGCAGGGCCTGACCCCTACAGGGGAGAATGGAGCAAGGGTGTGAGATAGAAGAGTTAGGCCAAACCCTGCCATTTTCCCTTTCTTGGGATCCATAGAGAATATGATCTTCTTGTCAGCTGATAGATACCCCCAGGTGATGCCTTTTTGGTGTCATCTTTAGTGCTTCCTGAATTGTCTTCTGGGCTCTGCTGTGTTTGCCTTAACAATTGTAGTCGAAAGGACTTTTGCACCGTAAGTCCTTACAGTTCTACTGAGAACATTGATGCTTTTCTCACTCTGGGCTGTTGTGAGGAGCAGCTAAGGATGACTCATAACAGAGCAGAAATGGAGATACCCGTCCTCCCCAATGGGCCACGATGAACACACTTGCTTCTATTGGACACTCACTGAAAGAAAAGCCAGTCACAAATTCAGTACTTTCTTCCTGCTCCTGCACTGTGGCCAAGCTGCCACAGCGATGGCCCATGGGTGCATTTAGGCTGTAACAGTTTGGAGACATGGGTTTATACCAGACATTTGTGCCCTGAAGTTAGTACAGATAATCCTGTCCCACTCTGCCAGTCCTTTAAAAGTACCATGAATGGCCCATGAGATACAGGAGGATAGACATGCTGGGGCCTGTATTAGAAATATTCCCTCACAGGTCAAAAGGCCTCTCTCTTGTGTATTACCCAGAGCTTACAAAATAAAAACATTTTCCCTTAGGTGATGTTACTGCCTACTTGTGATTTTATCTTGGATGAACTGGTGTGTTAATCAACTTTTCCATTGCAGGGACAAAACACCTTACACACGCAATTTGGAGGCAAAAGATTGATTTGTCTCATGGTGTTAGAATTTTCTGTTCATATTCAACTGGCTGTGAGGCAGATATATTATAGCAAAGGGCACTGTAGAGGAAAGCCATTCATTCCATTGTAGTGAAGAAGCAGACCAATCACAGGAGAGCCAGAGAGATGAACTATAGTTCCTTCCTCCTTCCTCTGAGCTCCACCTTGTAGCAGTAAACTGAAGCTATAAACTCATGAGTGGATGGTGCAGTGACGAAGTTAGTGGCCCAATTACCTAATTACCTCCCCCAAAACTCTACTTCTGAACACATGAGCCCCGAGTTGGGGAGGATTAGAGTCAACCATAGAAGAGTGAGCTGAGCATATTGCACTAAGAAAGGTCAGAAAACACTACGCCCTGTTATACCTGAATGCGCAAGTGGCCAGGGCCTCTTGAAAAGGTTTATAGAGCAGCCTAGTCAAAAAGATCCAGAAGAAGTGGATTGCTGTGGAGATAATTGGGGAACAGCAGAGGATTTTTCTGGACATGTGCTGGAATCTGCTGGAAGAGCTCCAGGAAACTGGGAGGTGGAATAGCCTCAGGAGCTCACAAGGATAACTGGCAGCTGCCAGGAGTTACTAACACTCAATGAGCCGTAACAGTAAGGACTATAACTCTAAGAGCTAAAGTGCACTTTTAATGCAAAGCTCAGAGGTGTAGACACTGACTCTCAAACCTACAGCTACTAATCCCTAGGAGGCTAAGGTTTCCCAATTCAAGATTTTTATCAAACTTGTGTCAAAAAACCCCAAATGATTTGTAACAAATATTTTCCACTTCTTCAATTTTTCTAGGTAAACCATATGTATGGATACTATGAGCAGGATATTCATATTAAATATATATCAGTACTGGAAAAATTTCTGATGGAAGAAGCTTTCCACATGATTTGAACGCAGACTTCAAGAAGCAAGGAACTGTGAAAGGAATATTTATAGTTTTGTTTTCAACATTTTATTGCATGCTGAGGCTTCTCAAGCTTTCAAGTACTTGTCATAAAATAAGCACAAAACTCTTGAGACAGTTGTTGATAACTACCTTTTCTCTGTTAATTTGTGTGTGATGTTTGTCTATTTTCTCTATAGATACAGACGATAGGTTTTGTCATTCTTTTCTCTGCATGATCGTCTCATTCAGAATTTTTTTTTGAGATTCCTTAAGCACAAGGCCTTCACAGCCTGTAACTTGAGCTATGTTTGATCTGTCCATCCAGGAGCCCCTGACATGCACCCAGCTGCACCCTACTCCCAGACATATGGTTTGTATCCCTGTCATATCTCCCAGTGAACTTATGTTTACTCATAGGTGAAGTGGTTGCTGGTTGTCTTCAGGCCACTTACACAATACTAATGAAGACATAGAACTATTTATAATTATTATACTGACTCATAAAACATCAATTTCTCATAAGTGAAATGTGAAAAGAACAATAACAGGATATATCTCTGTGATATGTACACCAATAACCTGACATGTTTGGCCCTTCTATCTTTATTCTGAAGCTTTCAGGGGCAGAAATCTCTTGAAGGCAAGTAACAAATAACTGGAATCACATACAGCTGTATGGTGTAGCAAATAATAGTACAGAATCCATAAGTGGATAATAACTGGTGACCTCACATGTCTTACTGGGAGAATGAAATCCTAGAGTGTCCCTGGGCAGCCGCGGAAGTGGGTGTGGGGAGGGGCAGAGTGGCACTGGGTTGCCCCCATGTGAAGGATGTGGCTTGGCACAGACCTGGAGGTATTTTTTGTGTAGATTATTCTTGTAACTGCAATGCTGTGCTACTGCTAGCCCAGTAAGCACAGTAGTACATGGCCTCATCTTGCGCTTCTAAGGAGTTTATTTTCAAGGTTGAAGTGGAAGCTCCAGAATTTTTACTTGCCTCAAATTTGTTCTTCTTTCCATCAAAGTTAACTCCAGTAGCGCTGGTCTTAACATTCAGGAGGTACTGTAAACCTTCATTAGGCTTCTGCCGGTACCAGTATATTCCCGTACTGTCAAAGCCTGAGAATGATGCCTTACAAGGTATGTCAGCACTCTTATCTGTTGCTCTAGAGATGACCACTTCAGGTTGCTTCAGCTGCCCCAATGCAACTGCAAAGAAAGAAGAGAAATTTCCATGAATAAGTGATGTGAGGAGAAGAGATACCAAAAGCATGACACCATTCTGTTCTGAGGATGGAGAGGATTAGAAATAACTCACAAGTCCAGAATGAGGAGAGGAGGACTGCTTTCAGGGGCAGCATCCCGTCTGCCCGGCTGGCTTCCTGAGAAATGGGTGAGGACCCTGAGAGCTGAGGCCCCAGGTCAGTGACAGGATCGTGGGGCTGTCCTGGGGCTTATGAAGAAATGGAGGGTCAGGTGATTTCCTGGGCTTCTTCATAGCAAGAAGCATTTCTGGGGTTTCCTGCCTCACAGGACGTGGACAGATGGAGTGAGTGGATTAATTGTCTAGAAATGCATGTATGATACTTTTGAGTTCATTTGAGCTGGGATACAGATGGTTCTTTGACTCACCCACCCTTCCCCTTCAGTTTCATACCAAAAAAAGTATTGTTTCAGAGTTCTGAAGATGTATCTGCAGTGCTTTGTCTCCATATCTTATGTTCTGTTATTTGCCTCTGGTTCAGAACTCAGGTAAGAAATCAGTTGTTAGTTTTTTAACAAGAGTACAAAATGTCAATTGTCAACATATCCATTGACATGACTTAACAGTGTCCAGCATAGGAGAATTTTTTAAATCAGTGGGGGTCATAAAAAGCAGGGTATGACTCAGAGAAATTACCCTTCTCTATCCTGGTTGCCTCTAACAGGAACTGGACTGCAGCTGCTGGAAATATAACACAGCACAACATGAAAATCAGCTTCTCCTCACCCTGGACGATGAAAATGCCTGACAAGCATATGTCATATAAGTCATTATTTTCAAACATCATTATGTTTAATATGCAGCATTCGCTGTAAGGATCATACAACCTCTCACAATCATCAAAGACTTACTACTCTTCAATCATTGACTATATTCTCTTATATTATTTAATTTCACAACTTGAATTGTTCTGTGGCGTTTCTCATGATAATACATAGCTGACAAATCATCATTCAGTATCACAGAACTTGCAAATAAAAAATTCAGATGAGATCAAAGTGTTTTGTTTTAAAAAGCCAAGTATAGTGTGATGTAAAACTACCAGCAGAGGCAACTTTCATTTGTTCTTTATTTTTATTTCTCTACATATTTATAGATACAAATAGGGTAGCATCAGTAAGTGTATACAGAAAAAAATTAAAAATCAACGTTTCAGAAAGATGTCTGCCCTCGCCTGTTTATTGCAGCATTATTCATAATAGTGGAGAGAAGTACTGACCTAGGTGACCAGCAGTGGATGCACAGATAAAGGGAACATGGGGTACACACACAATGGGCGACTCTTCATCCAGAAAAAAGAAAAAAGGTCTGTCACCTGCAGCCACATGGTTATAAACAGAAGACAATCTTTTTACAAGCTATAAGTTTTGCAAAGAAAGACAAATACACAGCACTTCTTAGGATCAGCCTGTTATTCATAAAGGCATTCATGTTTCCATTACTATGTGGAAGCCTCAAAGTTGATCTCAAGGAGAGAGAATAGGACAGTAGAGAGACAGGGTGCTGAATGGGCACAGGGTGCAACTGGGCAGGAGGAACAATTTGTAATGTTCTATGGCACCGTATCATAACTGCGGGTTACAATCAATAGAATATTTCAAAGCAGTGTGAGGAGAATTTTATATATTGCCAGAACAATTAAATGACAAATTTCAGAGATCACAGATATGTCCATTAGTCTAATGTGATCCTTTTTATTGTATATGTGTATTGTATTGAAATGTCACACTGTACACCAAAAACATGACTAGGTCCAACTGCTATGTCAATTAAAATATATATATATATTAGCTCCTTGCCAGCAAGAAAGTTGATGAATGGTTGCTTAATGAAATACTGGGGTAAAAAGAAATAAAATGCCTGGACACTGGGGCACATAGTTACTGGTCCTACTGAGAGGAGAGGAGCGAAGCTCTTCTGCAAAGTGTGGCACTTTTAGCAGTCACTGTGGTTATGCCTTCTACATGCTAGGGGTGTTCGCATGCTATTTTTAAAAAGCAAGTGTTTTCAGCTTTTGGATACTGTCAGAGTCCCCTGGAGGGTGCATTGCACCCACATGAGAAATACTGATTTAGTCTCTTTTTTTTTATATAGCACATGTATTTTATTCCTACACTCATGTGCTTCAGGACACAGCCAGGATGGGGCCAGAATGAAACTGGTATGAAAAAATGTAACTCCTTTATCAAAAATAGCACTTACCTTTTTTTTATTTGCTGCTTTCTCTTTTCTTAGAAAGACATGAAGAGATGTAGCACCAATTCGACATCCAACATTTCTACCCTTTGTGACCTGTTGTGGTCTGTGATTTCCATATCTTCTTTCCTGTCCCATGCTTCATATGTTAGTGATGTTAAATCTAGTTCTGTTTTCAAGCTTAGTGCTTTCCCTGTAGGGAGAGCTTCATGACCACCAGCTACCATTAAAGAGAATTCTTACTAAAAATCCTACTAAAATGAGTGATATTATAATCAAAGCATAATTCCTTATTTTTTATGTGGTCCTTATCATTTCTAAAACACTTTACACAGACTGGATTATTTTACCCACTCAGTAATATCTGAGGCTAGGGACAGTTCAGAGACTTTTTCTGAGTCTGAATTATTATGATTCACTGTAAATTTTTTAAATTTAAGTATCACTGGTCCAAGACAGGCATGAGATATGCCAGTCATTGCAGTCTGCCCTGCCTGTGGTTAAATCATGTTGTGTTTGCTACACTTCAGCTCCACAGTAGGAAGCAGAGTCCTGTTTCTCCACTGGGCGCAGTAGAATGGGGAACACAGATGTTTCAGGGATGGTTTCCACCTCTGCTTTGCTCAGTGCAGTTCCTGGTCCCATGAAGGTGGTGCCATCCACTGAGATGTGGAGCAGGTGTTGCAGGCTGTGACCTCGTGCTTCCGGGAACCAGTTCACAGACACATCAGTAACTGCGGACACCACTCACTTCAGACACTGATTTTGATGGTTTTATTAATGGGAACTTAAGGTTGTACCTGGTGATATATATGAAGCACACACAATGGGGAAAAGAAACAGAGATGTAGTAGCTGAATAGGAAAAACTATGGAATTTAAAAACTGTGTATTGTCAGAGAAAGTCAGTGAAAAATGATTGGGGAAGTGAACAACGAAGACATCCTAACTACTGGCAGAGCTGCTGTTTGCTATGGGGACAGAAAGCTGAGCCAGCTGTGAGAAGAGGGTCAGACCCTTCTCCCATGAGTCAGCTTCCCATCTGTGCTTGTGAAATGGGGCCTCCTCCCCATCAGCTCTCCTTCTTCATCACAGAGAGAGGGGGGCCCTCTCTCAGCACATCTGCTCTGGGGGAAGAATCCACACAAAATCCACCAAATTACACAGGACCACTAGGTACAGGCCACCAACTCAGAGCCACCAGATGACAGTCTGTGAGGTCCAATCCTGGAAAGTCACAGAATGTGCAAAGATATGGGTTTTGCTCTTTGGGTCACAGACACCAAAACAAGCGCCCAAGCACACAGCTATCTAACACAGAGATGGCACGACTGCCCGCCTCAGTCTTCTGTCTTCATTCATTACTGTTTACTGAGTGAACCCCCAGCAAGTTGTCAGGGAGAGTAAAGGGTGGTGGCAGGGCCAGAAAATGTGTCTTGTGGCCACGGAGAGCTGACCTCCCTCCAGACTAAGCCTTTGATTCTTTGGTCTAGAGATCCTTGATGACCTTCCCTGTCGTCCACACAGTATGGAGCCCCATTGGCTACTGTCATGGGGTCAAAACATCCACTTGAGGAGGTTTCATCTGTCTCAGTTTGGGGTTGTGTCTCTTCTCAGCTACATGGACTGAACATCTCTACTGAGCCCAGATCCTGCTCTCTGAACCTTGGCTCCCTCACACTGGATTTCTCTTTTGCTGTTTCTAATCCAAGATGTTTAATATTCCCTAGAGGATTTTGATTAACAATTTGTTCCCAATCCACAACTCAAAGATTGTTTTCTAGAATTCTCTTTTCAGTTTCCCTGGTCTGAGGGTCACTTTCTAGTTCTTGGGTTTAATTATCCTGGAGGAGAGGAAAGAAGGGTTGAGGGGACAATTCACATCCACGTGAAACCCACATTTGCCTCTGGGCTCCATGTGCATAAAGTCAGTTGATGCCAGACAACTTCAAGTGCATCTAACACGTCACTTCCCACTTCTGTGTATGTGGAATGTACAGAGACAGAAAGAGCTCACTCCCTTGAAGGAAACATCTCCTCCTAGCACTGATCATTGTTCCACAATTTGCACAGGTTGATGGGCTGAGGATCAGCCTCAGTTCTCCCCTCTAACTCATCACACTTCAGCTCCTGTTATTCTGTACCAGCCAACGACTCATTCCTGGCCCCCAAACCTCTCCCCACCTCCAATCTTCTAAGTCCAGCCTAATGCACACATCTTTTTTCACCAGGGGACTCATCCCATCTGCCTACTTCCCAGCTTGGAACTCCTGTTGTGCCTGCTTCTGTTAAAGTCCAGAGTCTTTAGGACACTAAGCACATTAAGATTTAACCACCTCTTCCTCCCCTGTCCGGTTACTGCCACTGTCTCTCCAGCAGCCCATGAGCTGCATTTGCAGACTGTTCAGATGCTTCCCTGTCCCGTCTGCTATGTCCCACTCTCCTGACTGATGCTTATTCTTTGGGGTCAGCTTAGGCACTATCTCCCAGGCTGTTTCCCTCTACAGGAAGTCAGAGATGGATGTTTCTCTTATCTCTTGTTTAGTGGCACCCATGGCAGCTTCCTCTCTTAGCCCTTCCTGCCCAAGAATAAGCAAGTGAATTTTTCTCTTATTTGACTCTTTGAGAGCTGTTCTTAAGGAACTAACACCATGTCTTAGTTTTCTTTTGTGTTTTAGTGTCTGCAATCAATGAAAGATTGAAAGAATCATGAACACTGAAGTATTCAGAATAAATTCAGAATAATTTTTCTTTATTCTGAAGTCTGTGAGAGATTCCCACATAAGGTATATTTTTAATGGACATGAGCTGAGCATTCTCTGCTTGTTTTCATACTGAGCTCCATCAATTTGCTGTAATTTCTATGGGGCTGCATTGGAAGCAGGTAAGGAAATGACCCAAGATTTCACAGCTTGTTAGCAGCAGATTTGAGTGGACTCTGTGTGGTTATGCAGGTTGACTCTTTGAGTAACTGGCTCTTCTGTTTCTCACCTCTCCAGTGAATATGAAACCAAAGCTACCTTGTACAGTACCTGTGAAGCATGATCAAGGTCCCCGGGTAGAGTATTCAGCAAAGTGCCTGACACAAAGCCCCTCATAAGTGGTTCCTGTCATGCTGTGCCTTGTAACTTTCATGCTCTTGACGAGGTCAGCCCAGAAACACGCCAGCCTGCTCTTGTCACTGTGCTTTAGGAGGCGCGGTGGTCCCAATATAAGTGGCAGTAAGCAGGAACTTAGGAACACTTTTTAGAAATAAACATTTCTGACTTTACTATTTATAAAATGAAGTTGGCTCCATTTAAGAAATTCAGAAATAAACTTTGAATCATCAAATGCAAAGCTGTTTAAATTCAAATTAGACCAGAATGAACACTTTTCTCTTGCCATTTTTTTCCACACAAGAAACCACAGAGGTTTCTGGGTGATTCTGGAGAATTAGGAATGCTGTTTTTCATTCTGTGTTTTCATTATTTTTCCATTAATGAAGTGGACTACTTGATATGAAATTAGACAACATAGAGCCATCTTATTTGCATGACTTCATTTAATTACAGAAATTATAGCCACATGACTCAGGAGCCACTTGGTGACCAGGATCTCAGAGAAGTTGAGAGGTGTCCACACCCCACTCTGAGTGGTGATCAAGAGAAGGTGGGGAAAAGGGGCATGTGTCTCCCCCATAGTTTATACCATCAGTCCGCTTTGGTACCCTCGGCTGAGATTTCATCTGCTGGGGATCTGGCATTGGAGTTTGACCAGGCTTTCTGTGCACCTCAGGACTTCAGCTGGCTGCTTTGGGCTGAAGAGTAAATGACCAGCTGCAGGGAGAGGACCCTTAGGTGACCCCAAATTCTGGTGTCTCCACAGGTCTGTCACAGGTCAGCCTCATTTGAAGACAAGCAGGCCCCTAATAGGATGAGATAACTCACA